GATGGCCAGGAGCAGCCACTGCACTCCAGTCTGGGTGACAGAGTGAGACTCCAACTCAGTCAATCAATCAATCAATCATAAATATACTTTATATATAAAATAAAATCTGTGTTGCCTGAAGTGTAATCTTCTTTGATAGGAATGTGACAAGACCCCTTATGGAGAGGAAGAGACACAGTGTCATTGAGTTCTGCAAAGATGCCACATTCCAGAAAGCTAGATGTGAAGAAGAGATTTGGGAGATAAGTGGGAAGAGAAGGCACATTTGGTAGAGGGAACAGCATTTGACACTGCTGGGGACCTTTTCCTTCTCTGCTGAAAAAGTCTTTCATCCCTTGGCTTAGACACCCTGACCCATCTTGAGTCTCTTTCTCCAACCATCTTGCCTCCTTGATCTGGAGATCTCCAAAAAGCTATTTAATGTCCCTTTCAGTCCCTAGCACAGTAATTTGCAGATTACAAATTGCCGTTAAGCAGTTATTAAATGAATGAAGCAGAGGTTTTGAAAAAAACCCTATACATGAGGGGGACCAAAAAAAACACCACCGGAATTTATTTATAAAAAATTGTGTAGTTATTCTCACATGTTTAAACTTCAGTCACCTTCAAAGCACTGTCTGTTTGCAGTACACCTATTGAGACACTTTTGCCACTGTTCAAAATAGCTTTTGAACTTGTCAATTTTGATGCCTTTTTAAAAAATTTATTGTAGAGATGAGGTCTCGCCAAGTTGCCCAGGTGGGTCTCAAACCCACGGGCTCAGGCAATTCACTCACCTCAGCCTCCCAAAACACGGGATTACAGGTTGAGCCACCGAGCCCAGCCAGGACTTTTTCATCTAGAGAAATAAGTGTCGCTTGGGGCAAGGTCAGATAAGTAGGGAGGATGAGACACGGGGGATCATGCCGTTTGGAGTCTAAAACCTGTTGAACACTCAGCATGGTGTGGGCACGGTCATGGTTTAAGAACCAGTCACCTGTTGGCCACAACTCAGGAATTTCTTCTGCAAGTCATGGTGCAACCTTCTCAAAACTTCCAGAAAAAACTTTGGTTGATCATTTGATCCAGAGGAACAAATTCTGAGTGTACTACAGGGGGCCTACCCACCAAAAGATAATTCTGGGGTTTTTTGGGTCCCCCCATATAGGTTTAAAATGTGTAAATTTTTGTTTGTTTGTTTGTTTTGTTTGTTTGTTTTTTGAGTTGGAGTCTCACTCTGTTGCCCAGACTGGAGTGCAGTGTGCGCTCCCAGCCACCGCAGCCTTGACCTCCTGGACTCCGGCGATCCTTCCGCCTCAGCCTTCCAAGTAGCTGGCACTACAGGCACATGCTACCACGCCCAGCTAATTTTTTTGATTTATTGTAGAGATGAGGTCTCGCCAAGTTGCCCAGGCGGGACTTAAACCCTCTGGCTCAGGCAATTCACTCACCTCACCTCCCAAAGCATGGGATTACAGGTTGAGCCACCGAGCCCAGCCTAAAATGTGTAACTTAAAGCAGGAGTAACCACCCTTGTATCTACCACCCAACTAAAAAAATAGAACATGACTAATAACTTGAAAGCTCTGCATGCCCCTTTCTGGTCATGTGCCTGACCCTGCCCACCATCAGTACCCTTTTTGTTTAATTTTATGCTAACCATTCCCTTGCTGTTCCATATTCATTTACTGTCTCTCTATGTATTGCTAGATAATAATTTGTAGTGTAACAGCATATTATGTAGTTTTGTGTGTTTCTGAACTTTTATATGTTACTGTGTCTGACTTCCTTCACTCAGCATTTTTTAACCATTTACTTTTACTGTGGTAAAATATACATAAAATTTAACTTTTTTTTTTTTTTTCCCTAGTTGGAGTCTAACTCTGTCACCCAGACTGGAGTGCAGTGGCCGCTCCCGGCCACCGCAGCCTCGACCTGCTGGGCTCCGGCGATCCTTCCGCCTCAGCCTTCCGAGTAGCCAGAACTACAGGCGCGCTCTACCACACCCGGCTGATTTTTTGATTTATTGTAGAGATGAGGTCTCGCTGCCCAGGCGGGTCTCGAACCCGTGGGCTCAGGCAATCTACTCACCTCAGCCTCCCAAAGGCGCAGGATTACAGGCTGAGCCACCAAGCCCGGCTAAAATTTAACATTTTTATCATGAGCATTATATTTTTTGAGAATCATTGAGATATATTTTAGAATATTTTGAGATTCATTTGTGGTAGTGTTGGTAACTATTTTCATCACTGGGTGGAATTTCATTTTCCTTAAAGATTATAGTATCATTTAAGCTTTCTAGTCAGCTTTGATCATTTTTCTTTTTCCAGGAATTTAAATTTTAAAATGTATTAGCATAAACTTCATAATGTTTTGTTTTCATCTCTGTTATATCAGTAGTTGTGTGTTCTTTCTAGTTCCTAATAATGAGTGTCCCCTTTTTATGTTAATTAGTCTTGTCAGAGGTTTGTAGGGTGTTTTTTGTTTTGTTTTGTTTTTACTGTTTTCAGAAAATTGTCTTGCAGGTTTGTGATTCTATGTTAGGTTTGATTGCGTTTTCATGAATTTCTGCTCTTATTTTGTATTTTCTTTGTCCTACTTCTCAGTTTCATTTTCCCCCTTTCCTTGTCTTTTTTTTTTTTGTAGAGACAAGGTCTCACCAAGTTGCTTGGGCTGGTCTCGAACCTTAGGCAATCCGTTTTCCTTGACCTCCCAAAGTGTTGGGATTACCGACTGAGCCACCAAGCCTAGCCTTTCCTTGTCTTTTCAATCAGTCAAGTTACATTTACACACACACATACACACATCTTCATATTTTTCTTCTACAAATTGGGGAATTTTATGATCTGTTTCTGTTCTTTAATGCAGAACCCCCAATATCGGTCCTGACCTGTTAGGAACCTCGTCGCACAGCAGTACATTAGCTGTGGGTGAGCGAGCAACCCTTCATCTGTATTTACAGTTGCTCCCCATTACTTGCATTACTGCCTGAGCTCCACCTCCTGTTAGATAAGCAGCAGCATTAGATTCTCATAGGAGTGTGAACCCTATTGTGAACCACACATGTGAGAGGTCTAGGTTGTGTGCTCCTTATGAGTATCTAATGGCTTAGGATCTGAGGTAGCACTGAGGTGGTGATGCTGGCACTGGGAAGCAGCTGCAAATAAAAATTAGCATTAGCAGTGAGGTTTGACTGCACAGAGACCATAATAAATCAGTTGCTTGCAGACTCATATCAAAATCCTATCAGTGAGTGGCAAGTGAGTTGATATACTTAAACTGTATAGCTGCATCTGGTGGTAGACTTTAAGTCAGGATCTGACACTTTAGTCCATGCTTGACCCACCCATTTTATTTGTCACTTCCATCTTTCTCTTTTTTATGGTGAGTTATATAATAATTTCATATATTGCAATATAACAATAATAATAGAAATAAAGTACACAATAAATGTTGTCACTTGAATCATCCCGAAACCATTCCCCAGTCCCCCAGTCCGTGGAAAAATTCTTCCACAAAACTGGTTTCTGACGCCAAAAAAGGTTGGAGACCACTGCTTTAATGAATAGACTAATTAGTGTAAGGATAAAGAAAAATGAGGAATTAGGTATAGTTACCCTACCTTTCACCTTAGAATGTCTCTTTCCACCCCTACTGCCTGCCCTAGGCCATGTTCCCACTACTTCCTCCCTGGACTGTTGGAACAGATGTGCTTCCAAAGCACAGATAGACACAAGTTGGTCCCCTGCACACTTATCTTTGCTGAGTCTCCAGAGTCTGCTTGATATAGTCCAGATTCCTTGGCATGGCATTTGAGGCCCCAACATGCTTTTCTTGTTTTCTCCAACTCCCCAACCCCCACTTTATAATATCCTTCATATTGGCATACTTGAAGTTTCCAGAACTGACCCTATACTTTTCCATCATAATTATTTATGCATAATACCCTCCCCCATCACCTATCATGTCCCATCCCCAAATTCTACCTGCTCAAATCCTATTATCCCTTAAAGACCAAATCAAGCCACCTGCTGCACCACTACCTTCCTAATTCCCCAGATGGAAGTAACATCTACCTTTCCTGTTCCCATGTCACTATCCCTGCCTGACCATTACTGGTGCGGTTCTGGCATTTTCAGACGTCACAGCCTGTTATGCCAGAAAATATATTGAGCAGCCAGGTGCGGTGGCTCAAGCCTGTAATCCCAATACTTTGGGAGGCCAAGGTGAGGGGATTGCTTGAGACCACAGGTTTGAGAACAGCCTGGGCAACTTGGCGAGACCCCATCTCTACAATAAATCAAACAATTAGCTGGGCGTGGTAGTGTGCACCTATAGTTCCAGCTACTTAGAAGACTGAGGTGGAAGTATCGCCAGAGCCCAGTGGGTCGATGCTGGGGTGGCCGTGAGCTTGCCACTGCACTCCAGCCTGCGCAATGGAGTGAGACTCCAACTCAAAAAAAAGAAGATATGTTGAGCAGCTGCTTCCATTGCTAACAGACATACCTGTTTCTCCTATTCAGATCTATGCCCTCAACAGAGTCATGACAGAACTGGAGCAGCAGCAGTTTGATGAGTTCTGTAAACAGATGCAGCCTCCTGGAGAGTGAGCCCTGTATCCATACTTGATGGGACCCTAGAGGCTTTGTTTGTGAGTGTGTTGCCAGCTGTAAGCTGAGATGGCCCATTTGGAGCCTAACACAACTAGACAAGAAGCCATTTGTGAAGAATTCTGAACTTACTGCCTATATGTAACTTCCACTTCACTGGTTCCTCCAATCTGAGTTGACCGTGTGCTTGCTGGAGACTTTTCTTCTAAGACAGTAGATTCTTTTTAAAAAAAAAACAAAAAAAAAAAACCTTTTTCTAATGTTTGGGGGGGAAATCAATGTTTCCTGTAAATCTGTATATCGTCTCCAAAAATGCAAATAAAGTACTAACAAAATGTTCATTTTTCTCATAATTTTAGCAAGTGCCTTACCATGGAAAATGGAATAAAAAATAATGAAATAGGCAAGAAAATTTGAGATGAGCAGAAGGTACCTTTTCTCTTTCAGAAGCAGGGTGAAGAGGTGAGAAAGACATGACTGCTTCCAATTTTCATTCTTCCTGGGGCTGGAGTTCTGCAGACCCGGCTGATCCTAAATGTTTAGGCATGCAGATACATATATGTGGCCCCTTTACTCCCATATGAGTCACTGGTCAGAGTTAGAGGCTTGAAGTTAGGGGAGCTAGCAGCAGGCTTGCATCATCAAGATGCAAGAGAAGAGTACAAATGCTTTTTGTTTTTCATTTTTGGAACTACTTTATTAGGCTTAGAAATGGTGTCATGATGGGAATATTCAGACTGGTCCTCAGGAACCAGTCACCTGCTCATCCAGTTGACATTTTTAGGTGTAGAAATGTAAAATGTTACTGCTTCAGGCATTTGTATCAAGAATGGCAATTCGCACCTGAATTTTTTTTTTTTTTTTTGAGTTGGAGTCTCATTCCATCACCCAGGCTGGAGTGCAGTGACAGCTTATAGCCACCCCAGTGATCCTTCCACCTCAGCCATCCAGGTAGCCAAAACTACAGGCGTGTGCTACCACACCCAGCTAATTTTTGATTTATTGTAGAGATGACGGCTCGCCAAGTTCTCTGGGCTGGTCTCAAATCTGCGGGCTCAGGCAGTCCACTCACCTCGGCCTCCCAAAGTGCTGGGATTACAGACTGAGCCACCGAGACTGGTCCACACCTCAGTTTTAGCAGTGAAGTTTAATGTTTTTCAGAAGAGATTGCTCTTCCAGAATATCTCATTTCTAGATATTCCTTGGGAATAGGGAGAGAAGGATTTCAGAGACCTAAATAAATATGGAAATGAGGCAGACCACTCAGATAGGGCAAATGAACCAGACACAGCCACCTTCTTTAAGCTGGAAATGCCTTTATTTCCCCCGCTAGTGCTGGGAAAGTCTCAAGCTGTCCAAATCTCTGTCTCCCTACTCCCTCTGAAGTCACTGAGACCACTGTTCCCAATGCTGTGGCATATTTTAGGAGTAAATAGGGGAGTTAACAGGATGTTAAGAAACTTGCTACCACTTTGGAGAATGTGTTTTTTAAGAGTCCAAGTTATAATTATCTCTAAACAGGTTATTCCATAAATGGTAATTAGGTTCTATAGCATCCTGCTAAATTTGCGTGGAATGGAAATGTTTGAATTTTTGGAGGAGTAAGGGGTTGGAAGGAACTATTCTTACAAATATGAGGAAATGCCGTAGTATGCTAAAAAGCAGTTTTGGAGTAAAATGACCTGGGGTCAAGTACCAGTTAATCTCTCTGAGCCATACTTTCTCATCTGCATAATGGAGTAATCTTTTCTTTCAGGATTGTTGAGAAATAAAATAATGTGTGTAATACTTAGCGTCTTAGTCCTTTTTGTGCTGCCATAACAGAATACTTGAGACTGGGTAACTTATTAATATAAAGAACAGCCGGGCTTGGTGGCTCAGCCTGTAATCCCGCGCTTTGTGAGGCCAAGGTGAATGAATTGCCTGAGCCTGCGGGTTTGAGACCTGCCTGGGCAACTTGGCGAGACCTCATCTCTACAATAAATAAAAAAAATTAGCTGGG